AAGGCGCCAGCCACATACACCTAAGGTGGCAGGTTCGAATCCCCAGCCCGGGCCCACCAAACAACAATGATGGCTGCAACCAAAAAATGGCCGGGTGTTGTGGCAGGCGCCTGTAGTCCCAGCTACTTGGGAGGCTGAGGCAAGAGATTCGCTTGAGCCCAGGAGTTGGAGGTTGCTGTGAGCATGATGCCATGGCACTCTACCCGGGGGGATAGCTTGAGGCTCTGTCTCAAAAAAAAAAAAAAAAAAGAAAGAAACTAGATGCTCAGTGAGAAGAGGTAAATGAGTCCCATGTGGGATGTCCAGGGAGGGTAAAATCTAAACAAAAAGTGAATTAGTGATTGCTGGGAGCAAGGGAAAGGGGCATACAGGGAGTGATACTTAATACATACAGGATTTCCTTTTGGGATAATGAAAATGCACCAGAATTGATTGTGGTGACAGCTGTTCAGTACTGTTGAATATACTAGATGTCAAATGGACAAAATGTATGGCTTGTGAATTATATCTCAATAAGTCTACTGCATAAAAAAAGGTCTACTAGCAAAAAAAAATTTTAAAAATAACCCTAGGCTCAGCACCTGTAGCTCAAGTGGCTAGGGTACCAGCCACATACACAAGAGCTGGAGGGTTCGAATCTAGCCCAAGCCTGCCAAACAACAATGGCAACTACAACCAAAAAATAGCTGTGTATTGTGGCAGGCTCCCATCGTCCCAGCTACTTGGCAGCCTGAGGCAAGAGATCACTTAAGCCCAAGAGTTGGAGGTTGCTGTGAGCTGTGATGCCCCAGCACTCTACCCAGGGTGACAGCTTGAGACTCTGTCTCAAAAAAAAAGGGTGGCGCCTATGGCCCAAAGGAGAAGGGTGCCAGCCCCATATATTGGAGGTGCTGGGTTCAAACCTGGCCACAACCAAAAACTGCAAAAAAACAAAAAACAAAAAACTTCATTTACCTCAAATTTCTTTGATGACTAGCATTACCTTCAAATAAACGAATATAAATTTCTTTCTTTTCTTCTTTTTTTTTTTTTTTGAGACAGAGCCTTACTATGTCGCCCTTGGTAGAGTGCCGTAGCATCACAGCTCACAGCAACCTCAAACTCTTGGGCTCAAGTGATTCTCTTGCCTCAGCCTCCCAAGTAGCTGGGACTACAGGTGCCTGCCACAATGCCCAGCTGTTTTTTTGTTGCCGTTGTCATTGTTGTTTAGCAGACCCAGGCTGGGTTCGAACCAGCCTGACTCCATGTAAGTGGCCAGGGCCCGAACCACTGAGCTATGGGTGCTGAGCCAGATTTCTAAAAAAAAGGAGTCAACTCAGCCTCCCACTGAAGCCAGGATTCTGTGAGCAGCAAAAGAAACAATAAACCACAATGAGGTGAAATCCAGATGTGTGCACAGCCATGAGTTCTTAAAAGACAATCAAAAAGTAAAACTCAGGTGGTGCCTGTGGCTCAAAGGAATACATATACTGGAGGTGGCGGGTTCAAACCCAGTCCCAGCCACAAACTGCAAAAAAAAAAAGGTAAAACTCAATGGCAGGCGTCCTTGTAGGGGCCTATAGTCCCAGATACTCGGGAGGCTGAGACAGGAGGATTGTTTGAGCCCATTGCTTAAGGTTGCTGTGAAATACGATGCCACAGGATTCTAGCCTGGGGGTGACAAAGTAAGACTCTTTCAAATTAAAAAAAAAGGAACTGCCTGATACCTGGAAACCTGGGGTCCTCTGCTCTGACCATCTCTGCCTTGGAAACCCAGAGCTGATGAGACTGTGTCTCCTCAGGCCCCAGGCTGGTCAGTAAGAGAGGAATGATGGGATTAGACTCTCTGCAACTCCACTGAGCCATGGTCTGGGTGAGTGGTCACTCAGTGGCCAGCAGCTTAACTGCTCTAGGGAGACACAGCTCTACCACCAGGGCCCAGCAGGACTGGCCCGGACCTGACCAGAACCTGACCCAGATCAGATCAGCCCTGAACATATACGACCATGGAAGCAAGGCCAATCTACAGAGGTGCTAAGACACATGATATGGTTTCTTCAATAAGCAAATTAGTGGGGAAGAAAAAGAATGAATTAGTGGGGACACTAGCAGGACACCATACCAAATCATAGGAAATGAAGGGATCTACATGCACTCAGGAGTCCCCATCCTTAGAACCCTTGAAACAGTTACTTGAGAGCCACTGTGACAACTTGACACAAGATAACTTGGGTGGGCAAGGATGGAGCTGACCCATGGGGAAGGTGCCAGGTGTACCTCCCGCACCCTTCCTCTGTTTTGTTTTGTTTTTGCAGTTTTTGGCCTGGGCTGGGTTTGAACCCGCCACCTCTGGCATATGGGGCTGGCGCCCTCCTCCTTGGAGCCACAGGAGCCGCCACACCCTTCCTCTGTCCAGGCTGGAAACCCCTCAGATGTCTTCATATAAGCCTAGAGGCCTTACCTTGCTCCAATGGCCGCTAACAAGGCGAGTGCTGGTACCCTCGACCCAGCTGACATACCACAGTGTGCTAGCCATAGTGCCCACCACGCCCATCTCCATGCTGTCATCAAAACTGGCGCTCACAATAGCACCATCCAGGCTGAGCTCACATTCCATGAACACAGAACAGGACCTGAAGGGTGGAGCAGAGGAGAGGATGGCGGGTCTTCAGGCAGGTCATAGGACCTGGCTGTGCTCTCTTGGGGAGAGGTACCAAAGGCTGATAGGCTTCTGAGCCTGCCCTTGTCCAGGTACTGCAGTCTGTAGGGCCCAAACCATGCCCAACCACATCCCTACAGAGGGGCCAGCTGGGGACAACAGCCCCTGCCTAGAGTCAGGGCTACTTAGGAAGAGGGCTGACTTATAGGCCCCAGGCAGGGACACCAGCACCCGCTTACAACTTAGCCACACAGGGAGCAGAGCAGGGCCCCTGGGGCAGCCCACCTGGCGCCCTTGTGTCTTAGCTCTGGCAAGGTCCCCACGGCCCATAGGCGTAGTCGCCCTGCACTGCTGCCACTGACAAGCCTGGAGCCCGAGCACAGAAGCATACCTGGAGGCAGGACAGGGAGTGAGCTGCCTTCCCCAGATACCCTGGGCCGCTGTCCCAGCTGAGACAACGGTCCTGAGCCATCAAGGGGCCACAGGGCCTCAGCTAGGCACCCACCAATCTCGCTGTCATCCGCCTCCCAGGCCAGGAAGCAGTGGCCTGCACGTGTGTCCCAGACACAGACCTGGCCAGAGCTGGAACCGCAGTAGAGCAAGGGCAGGGGCCCATAGCAGAGTGAGGTCAGCTCATCTGCCCCTACTGCCTCAGGGACTGATTCTTGGCGCACCTGGCAAGGTGGAAGGGTGGCTATGGGTCAGTGATGTTCTGGAAGCCCAGACTCTACCACCAAAACCAGCTCCAAACGTTGAGTGTGTCATCTAGCAGGCAGGCACCTGGAGATTGATGTCTGCCCCGTGCTGCTGTAAGAGCCAGAAAGTGACAGCATGCTGGCCCACACACACGAGCTCGTCAGCCTCCCAGGGGTTGAAAGCTACACCATGCACTGGTTCTGGGAGGCGGGTGGAGGACAAGAGGTGATAGGTGGTTGTGCTCCAAAGGGCAAGGGTGCGGTCGCCATAGTCACCTGGGGAGTCCCATGGACAGCCATGTCAAGGACACAAGTCCAGCCTCCCTGGGGTCCTAGGGACACTCCCATCCACCACTGTCCCAATACCAGCTGACCCAGTGTGACAAGGAGCCTGTCGTCAGATGAGAAGGCCACGGCCTGCACATTCGTGTCATGGTGAGAGATGAGATGATGACAGAGGCCCTCAGACACGTCCCAGATACGGATCTGACAGTGGGTGGCTATGGAGCTGCGGCCGGAGGCAGAAGCCAGGACCTAGTAGGTAGGAAGGCAGGTGGTCAGAGGGCAGGAACAGCCAGCTGGGTCCACCCTAGTTGTATAGAGGGGAAGCCAAGACTGAGTTGCTCCTGCTATTTCAAGATAGTGACCCAGGAGCTGGGTTCCACCATGCAGTGACCTGGGTGTGAAGTAGGGTGACCCATGGTGGGCACCTGGGTATTGTGGCTGAGGGCCAGTGTGGAGATCTCCTCGGGGTGGCCGAACCAGTGCTGCTGGGCGCCAGAGTGCAGGTCCTCTACCACCACCAGGCAGCCGCATGTGTAGGCAAAGAAGCCTGCAGGCAAGGAGGCAGTGTCTGGAGGCTGTGCCAACAGACAAGGGTCCTGAGGGGTCATCTAGCAGCCACAGGGGCTCACAAGGGACACAAGCTAGACCACCAGAATGTGTCAATGGGAGAACGTGGCACCCCAAACTGATGGCTGCAGCTCACTTGTCCCCCTGGTCATAGCTTGGGGCACACAGTGGGCCCCATCCTGCTGCTGCTTGGCTGGATTCCCACCTGTGTCCGGCCTCCAGACCATGTTGGCCCGCCCACTTCCGCTATAGCCCAGGACAGCCTTCAGGTGCAGCTGCTGGTCGCTGGCAGGAGAAAAGGCAACACTCTGCAAGAAAGCAGACCTGGGTGCTGGTGCCTAGCCTGGTAGCCTGAGACTGTCTGTGGGAGGCTGTTTCAGGGCATACCTGGGCCAGCTGGGGGATGGACTGGGAAGCCAGGGTGGGAGCCTAGCGCCAAGGAGGGGCAAAGGCTGGGGGATCTTGGGAAGGGCAACTGCCAGGTGAGGTGAAGTGAGGCAGGTCAGCAGTATAGGATGACAGGAGTGTGGGTGCAAGGAAAGGGGTGCACCTTAGGTGATAGGATCCCAAGGCCGAGAGCACTATATGCTTTGCAGACCAAGACCAGCTCTGAGGAGATCCTGGGGAACCCTGAGAGGGCCCCTTGAGCAGAATATGGTGACTGGAAACCACCCTGCTTCACAGAGTAGGGGCCATCACTGACCTTGGCCAGTGTCCTGTGGCGTGCAAAAAAGTGCTTGTAGGAATACAGGTGGGTGCAGGGCTGGGCCCCCCTGTTCCTGGTGCTTTCGGCACCTGGCAGGAAGGAGAAAGAAGCCACATGACATGGAACCACCTGGTAACCCTTCAGAGATGCCCCACTATACACAAAGTCCCTCCACTGTGCTGGGCAGCAAGAACTATGCACAGATAAGCCATGTCCTATAAACCCTGGAGATGGCCTCGCCTCCCCCCTGGGGGGATATCCCAGCTGTCACAGGAGCCCTGGTCCCTTCACTGGGATGCCACCTCTGTCCCTCCCTGCCTTCCACTGTTCAGTAGGCCAGCCACAGAGACAGGTGAGCATAGCGAGCCCCCAGGAGCCCCCTGCAGCACCCCAGGCCCCGTCTCTAGCCCCGCTTTCCTTCTCCTCTAGCACCAGTGGACCTGGGGCCTGGCGAAGCCCCTCTGGGCTGTGGCTCTTCTCACAGGGTTCTTCTTCATCTGATGCGGACAGGGTACCTAGGGGCAGTGGGAGAGAAAAGGATACCAACTCCCTGATCCCACATACACCTTCCCAGTGGGAGGCAATGGCACCCACATCCCAAGGCCAGACACAAACAGGCATATGCCCCAAAGCCTCCCAGATCCCTGCCACTCACCATCACCACCCTCGAGGGGCCCAGCATGGATGAGCCTCAGTGGTGAGGCCTGAGATGGCACGGGCACCTGCAGGCGAGGGAGCCCACTGGCCCCAGACACTGCATCATCCAGCTGTCCTACACCTGGGCCTGGGGATGCCAGAGCCACGCTCAGGGGTGAGGTTGGCAGAGTTTGTCGGGGTATCACAGCCTCTGCGGTGGTAACCAGCCCCCCACCCCTGAAAAGGCAGCCGTGCCATGCTGCCCACAGTGGCCACAGGGCCAGCCCAGGGTTCAGTGCATAGCCTGCTGGTGTCCACACCCAACCTCTCCAGCTAAACACATGCCACTCACCATGGGCTTGGGTTGCCCTGGACAATCTCTGGTCACTAGAGGGGCAAGGAGAGACCATCAGGAGGGCCCAGAAGGAGGCCTGGGCAGACACAGTACAGATGGACACTTGCCTCTTAGGGATGGCCAGAACGTCCCAAAGGAAGATGGCATCCCCCACGCTGAGGACATGCTGCTGGTCAGAGGTGAAGGCCACAGCCTGCACAGGCTCTGAGTGGCCGATGTACACCTGCGGGCAGTGGATGTCATACACAGGAGCCTGAGGTGTGGCTATTGACACTGCTGGGCTGTACCTGGGTCTGATGTGAGCCCCAGACCATTGGCCCCAGGAACTAAGCGAGAGGCCTCCCAGCAGGCAGAGGGATGGGGGGTCATCCTCCACCCTCCCATCCCCTCGCACTCCCTGTCACCCAAGCAACATGGCTTCACTCTGCCTGGACCTCCAGGGATCTTCCCACCACCTGAGGCAGCCACCTGTCCGCCCATAGCACACACCTGCGAGCCTGGACTGGCCTGTGTTGAGTAGTCCCAAAGCGTGACAGCTCGGCCAGTGGCCATCAGCAAGAAGTGGGCATCCTCACTGAGGGCCAGGGAGGGACAGGCCGCAGGGTGGACAGTGCACAGCTGTAACAGAGAGCTCTTGGACAAAGCTGCCTCTCAGAGGCTCCCCTCTCTCACTGAGTGTGGCAACGCCCACCCCCAGACCCTCTAGGCTGGAGGAGCTGCAGGCACAGATCACAGGCTGAGGCAGGAGGAAAGAGGGCAGGCCACTGGCTGCAACCTAGGCTTACCTCCCGGATAATGTGGCCTGATGTGGCATCCAGTACCATGACTTTGGACGTTGTGGACACCAGCAGGTGGCCCAGGACAGCAGGGCTAAAGCAGACAGCCACAGCGGAGTCTAGACAGCTACTGGCTTGGTCCAGGGTGCTGATGTCGACCCGCAGCAGCTAGGGGAGAACAGCAAATGGTCTGGACCTCAAGGCAGACGTGGTGCCACCCAGAGCCAGGCTCAGGAGGGAGAAGGCCTCAGGGTCACCCACTTGATACCTGGGTGCCACCTGCCCCATCTAGGATCCTGCCCTCCCCTAGGGGAGCCAGGCTCTCAGCATCCCACTTTGCTGGGGTGCTTTCTGTGATCATGAGGTGCAGCAATACCTAGGTCCTGCTCTTGAGTGATCACAGCCTCCTACCTATCCCCAGCCCCTCACACTCCATACCAAGCCAAAAAGGGTCTCTGCTCACAAGGAGCTATGCGGCAGCCAAGTGGGGTATCCAGACCTGGTTCCACTGCCCAGCTTGGCAAGGTTCATTACACTAGCCCCAGGAGGTTCCCTGACTCACCTCATCCAGGGAGGCTGAGTCCACAATAGTCACTGTGCTCTTGGAAGGACCCACAAAGGCCAGCAGGTGGCTGTCCCTGCTGACTGCCAGGATGTTGGGGCTCGGGTGGGCATCTGGGCACACCATGCTGGCTGTGGCAGCACAGGGCAGGGGTCAGTGGGGTAGAAGAGGGTCTGCAGCACACAGGTTGCCAACCAGGCATTACCCAACCTGCCCCTTCAGGAAACACCAGCCCAGGGAAGCAGATCCTATGGCTGTACCCACATGGTATGGGCATGAGAGTGCCAGGCACCAGTGAGCATCAGTCAGCAGCACAGAGGCTGTAAGTATTTGAGGGCAAGAATGACCGACCTAGTGACTGCTGGCTACTCCAAGTTACAGTGGCCAGAGAGAGAGCAGCTGACCATAACTGGACCTGACCCCTACCTGCTGCCCTTCTGGTCAGGCTGTCTGTCACCGCCTCCACGGCACAGAGCTGAGCTGGCCTCTGGCTTTGAGGGCAGGTAAACTCTAAACCAGGGTCTGGACAAGGCTACTAAAGGCAGCTGCACAGCCCCACTCAGGACCCAGCAAGTGGACAGAGATCAAAGCCCTAAGTGTCTGGGCATTGGCCAATCACAGACCCAGGGCCACCCCAGCCTTTTGTGACCAGCCTGAGTGGCAAAAGGGGCCTGACCTGCCACACGGAGGATGCAGCACTGGGGCCCGGAACAGTTATACTGGGCCAGGTTGCCCCGAGAACAGGAGCTGAATAGGTGGGTACCATCAGGAGTGACAGCCAGGCCAGTGATGGCTCCTTGGGGACACCTGCAGCAGATACAGGATGCCCACTGACTTCAGCCCTGGGAGCCCAGCCAGGACATGGGATCAGCCATGCTGCCACCAGCCCTCCTGGCCTGACCTTTGGGCAGCACTGGCCTTTCTGTAGGTGACCCTCCCTTGCCCAGCTGAATCCCCCCAGCTTCCACTGTGGGGTCATTGTATAGCCAAGGACTCCAAAGAGTTGGTGGCTGGCAGTGTACGCACATGTGTTCCACCATAACTTCAGTGGCCTCCAGGCTGAAGGAGCGCACAGCCCCACTGCTAAAGCCACAGAAGAAGGCCGGCCGTATAGGGTGGAAGGTTATAGCACGTGGGGCATCATCAAGTGATGTGAAGTCATACAGCTGCAGGGCACAAGGCTAGTGAGGAGTGGGCAGGAGCCATGAGAGCCCAAGAGGTTGAAGGCCCTCCCTGCCCCACCACACCCCACCTGCTGAAGGGTGGCTAGGTCCCAGATGCGGACAGTGTGGTCCTGGGACACAGTGGCCAGCTGCCCCTGGGTTTGGTCCATGGAGAAAGCCAGCACGGAGGCTGTGTGGGAGCGAGCCAGCACACTGTACTCCTGGGATGGGATGTCCAGGAAGCCCAAGTGGCCCGTGGAAGTGGTGGACAGCACGCGTAGCCCATTAGGGCTGATACACACTGAGCTGATGGGGCCTTCGTGCTCTGTAGGGAGGGAGGGTCAGCAGCACAGGAGCTCACCCCAGGGCAGCTCACTGCTGCTCAGGTGTTCGGGTCCCCAAGACATAGACAAATCCATTTCTTGCTTCAAGAGCCCAGGCTCCTCTTGATTCAAGAGACCAGGCTGGGAGAAGAGGCCCCCGGAGAACACCAGGTGGGGCCCAGGGCAATGAGGGAGCTTCACCCATCACCCACCCCAGGCCCTTCTGCAAAGCTGGCCACAGGCAGGTCTGGCATTGGTGGCCTGGTGACACCCTCTCTAGCCCAGGGACAATGATACCAGCAGTGGAGGCCTTAAGAACCTGGCCGTCCCCCTGCAACACTACAGGAACCTCCCAGGGAATACTTCCCCCTCAGGCTGGGAGTGGATGCTGAGGCCTCACCCGCTTCCAGGAGCACTGAAGAGAAGTCCAGGGGCCAGAGCCGCAGGCGGCCATCCTCAGAGCCCACAGCACACATGGCTGGGGAGATGCTGAGGCTGCTGATGGTGACACCGGGACCTGGGGGCCAGGAGTGTCAGTGCCTCACCTCAGCATCAACTCCACCTCCCCCACACAGTGAGTGCCCTGCTACCTGCACCGAAGGTCTGCTTCTGTAGGTGGGGGCTACTGGGGGCCTGTGTGGGTAGCAGGCAGCGGGCATGCTGAACAGCCATGCGTCGGTGGTCAATCTCTAGGATGTGGCCGCTGCGGCTGCATACATAGCTATCCCAAGGAGGCCACAGGTGAGGTAGGGGCCTAGGGAGGGGGAGCAGAGGTGGGGCCCAGGATGGTTTAAGCATGGAGCAGGGTGGGACTCACAGTGTCCCGGATGAGGTTTCCTGACAGCTGTCCTGGGCCTGCTCAAAGGCAAGGTCAGTGAACGGTAGTGCACGGTGCTCCCCAAGGTCCACAGGGCAGGATCGCAGGACCCCACCATGTAGCCGCCACAGCCGCACGCTGCCCTGCCCACATGACGCCATCCTATGAGGAGATATGGGGCAGTGAGGCCACCTAGGGCCCTCGATCCCACAAGAAAACCAGACATGCACGGACCAAGGCTGTGATGAGGGAGGAAAGGGGCCCCAGATCCAGATCCTGCCTTGCTGTGGATAGCTGGCCATGCCACAGTACCTGGTTCCATCAAAAAAGGCAACCCGGAAAGCCTGGACATCAAAGTCGGTGTGCACTTTCGCGAGAATGACCACCTCACCACCAAGGCGCACTGGGCCTGTGCCCCACGCCACTACCACCTGCAACAAGACTGCACTGAGGGGCGGTGCCTGTGGCTCAGTGAGTAGGACCCTGGCCCCATATAACAAGGGTGGTGGGTTTGAGACCGGCCCCGGCCAAACTGCAACAAAAAGTAGCCGGGCATGTGGCAGGCACCTATAGTCCTAGCTACTTGGGAGGCTGAAGCAAGAGAATCACCTAAGCCCAAGAGCTGGAGATTGCTATGAGCTGTGATGCCACAGCCCTCTACAGAGGGCAACAGAAAAAAAAAGACTGCACTAAGCTCTATGCACAGCCCTGAGTGCCTTCCTGCCTTGCCTATACCCCAACTGTATCAACAGGCAGGGGCTCTTGTCTCATACAGAAATCAGTCTCTGAGCACTTCGGCTGCTTAGGGTGGAAGGAAACTGCTCCCCCCCAGCTATGTGCCCCAAGCTGTGGCAGCTTTGGGACTTCCACACCAATAAGCAAACCTGGCGCTGCAGCCCCACCAGCAGAGACAAAAGCAAAAACCGACCCACAAGTAGAAGGCCAGGTAAAAAACGAGAGGTATTCCTGGGATGAAACACTTTGACACTTCAGCACTTCCCAGACACCAAGTCCCATGCAGGGGTCAACTTCAGAGGTGTGGACATGTTAAGATGCCCCATCTTACTGCTCAATATACCACCAGAGAGAACAAGGCAAATCACTTAAATGCCAATTGAAAGCAATGCCTGCTGCATAGGGATGCAAAGCTGAAGTGTAAGCTGTGAACGCACTGCAGCATCTTTTACATGGGGTGGTGGCTGGCACAAAGGCCCCAGAGTGCAGAGCCCAGGGCACACAGGGCTGGCATGACCCATGTACCTTTTTTTTTTTTTTTGAGACAGAATATCACTTTGTCACCCCTAGTAGAGTGCCATCGTGGCCTCATAGCTCACAGCAACCTCAAACTCTTGAACTAAAGTGATTCTCTTGCCTCAGCCTCCCAAGTAGCTGGGACTACAAGTGCCCACCACAACGCCCGGCTATTTTTTTAGAGACAAGGGTCTCGCTCTTGCTGAGGCTGGTCTCAAACCCGTGAGCTCAGGCAATCCACCTGCCTCAGCCTCCCAGAGTGCTAGGATTACAGGCATGAGCCACCATGCCTGCCTCATGTATCTTGATAAACAAAACTCCCAAAGGCATTAGAGCAGTGGTTCTCAACCTTCTTAATGCCACAACCCTTTAATACAGTTCCTCATGTTGTGGTGACCCACAACCATAAAATTATTTTCATTATTACTTCGTAACTGTAATTTTGCTACTGTTATGAATCGTAATATATATATCTAATATGCAAGATGTATTTAGGCGACCCTTGTGAAAGGGTCATTCAACCCCCAAAGATTGAGAACTGCTGCGTTAGAGGAACTTTGAGGAAGACTCTGATTGATGTTCCCTGCACACTGCAACAGGGCTGCTCAACCCCAGGCCAGGGCCCTGTTACCGTCCTCCCATGGCGGTCCTTGCCAACACCACAGAGAAGGGACCCGCAGTCAGAGAAGCTGTGGATGCAGAAGAGGCAGTTAGCATTGCTTGGACTGTACCCTCACCCCCAGCATGGAGACCCTGTGCCCACCTGAGTGCGATGACAATGTGCATCGGGCTCCGGAAAAGGGACAGGCACACCCGAGTCTGGAAGTCCCAGAGCCGCATCATGCAAGGGGGCTGTGCCTGTGCTGAGGCCAACAGTGAGTTGTTCCCATCCAGTGCCAAGGCAGAGACCTGAAGAGGAGGAGGCCGAGGAAGCGTGCAGCAGCCTGAAGATGCACCCCTGGGGCAGGCAACACCAACCTTGTCCGTGTGGCCAAGGAAGAAGCGCTGTTCCCCTGTGTCAATGCACAGGGTGATGATGACCGCATGGCAGGGGTAGATGACAGCTGCCCCATCCTTGGTCCACAGAACCTGTCACAGGGGCAAGGGCTAAGGTCAGCAATGGTGCCCCAGCCCCTCCTGGCAGCCTGGTTTCAGTGTCACTCTCCCAACCCCAGGGAGACAAAAGAACAGCTGACCTACATGCACACATGTCCCCTAAGCCTTGCCTCCAAGGCAAGAAACCCCAGGGTTTGAGTAAAAAAGACCAAACAGCCCCCAAAAACTCAGAGCCTATATGCAGGAGGGCTATAGGGAGCAAAGGGAAAGGCCACCCTCCTTCCCTGGAACACCCACCTCAACCATCAGGGACCCACAGGTCATATCCATGACCTGGCCCCACATGCTCTAGATCATGGCTGGACCACACTTGTCAGAACTCTAAAGTATGTGCATCAGAGCATTTTAACTGACACTTTATCCCCAGTGCCCCTTGGGTTCTGGCAAGTGAAGAGATACCCATGACCATGGAAGCCCAGGTGGTCCTAGAAGGGGCAGATGTGGGCAGGGTAGGGCTTCTGAGGATCAAGGGGAATCAGTGAAGTCTTTGAGGGGAAAGCCCTAGTGCCCTCGAGGAGCTGGGAGATCCACACACCATCTCACAGGGATGAGGGACCTTCCCCCTGCCCTACTGTATATGCCTGACACTCATACAACCTACCCAGAGCCATCCTACAAGTAGTCATAGGGCCCCTTACCCATTTGGTGCTGTGGCCCCCAAAACCGATGACCCTCTTGAGCCTCAAGATTGGGTCCGGGAGGAAGTGCTAGAATAAGTGAACTCATGGTGAGATTAGGGGAGGGCACAGCTCCTGCCCCACCCAGGCTGGGTCCTGCCTCTCAAGAAAGTCACCTTCAAAGAGGTGGCACTTGTGGGGCTCAGTGAGTAGGGCGCCAGCCCCATATGCCGAGGGTGGCGGGTTCAAGCCCAGCCCTGGCTAAACTGCAACAAAAAAATAGCTGGGTGTTGTGGTGGGCGCCTTAGTCCCAGCTACTCAGGAGGCTGAGGCAACAGAATTACCTAAGCCCAGGAGTTGGAGGTTGCTGTGAGCTGTGATGTAACAGCACTCTACAGAGGGCGATAAAGTGAGACTCTGTCTCTAAAAAAAAAGAAAGTCACCTTCCACTGAAGGCTCTATGAAAGGAAATTGCTGGGACTTTGGATCCAGAGCCAGACCTTCCAGAAACCCCAGGTCCTACCTAACCTGCGCCTAAGATCTCCCACCAAGGACAGGTGCAGTGGCTCATGCCTGTAGTCCTAGTACTCTGGGAGGTCGGGGCGGGAATATCAGTTGAGGCCAGGAGCTTAAGACTAGCACGGGCTCGGCGCCTGTGGCTCAAGTGGCTAAGGCGCCAGCTACATACACCTAAGGTGGCGGGTTCGAATCCAGCTCGGACCTGCCAAACAACGACGGCTGCAACCAAAAAATAGCCGGGCATTGTGGTGGGCGCCTGTGGTCCCAGCTACTTGGGAGGCTGAGGCAGGAGACTCACTTGAGCCCAGGAGTTGGAGGTTGCTGTGAGCTGTGAAGCCACAGCACTCTACCCAGGGGGATAGCTTGAGGCTCTGTCTCAAAAGAAA